CAGGTGAATGCCGAGAGGGCAGACAGCTCATCTCTACCTGAACTCCAGCACTGAGGCAGCTTTCACGGACCCTTCCACCCTGTCCAAGTTCTCACCTTTTCAGATGCCATGGTCAGTGTGTGCAATCTACTGCAGGAAATAAAAACAACCTCTTCGCTTTCCCTTTTAACTCAGATGGGATGGGGGAAGGCTACTCTCCTAAAGCCAATAAGAAAAGGACTATGCCCCCAAATCTGTGCCCGGGGCATGAAAATCAGCCAGTCAGATTCAATCCTGAGCAACTGCAGTCATGTGTTGTGCTGCAGCCCCAGCCCTGATGTCAGAACCATTAACCACCTTTGAGGTTGGAAGCGCATTTAGGAACCATCCTTATTTCCCTAGATTTTTTTTGTCCGGAAATAAATAAGATACCTAGAGAGCCTGTCAGGCTCTCAGCACTTGCCGATGCAGAAAGATAGCCCTGGGGAACAAAACAAGGAAACTGAAGCTGTGTGCAGAACTTCTGTTTCACTGGGGAAAGAGGGCCAGTTCCCCGAACAGGGGCTGCCTTTGCGAGGAGGTCCTCCGGGTACCCCATAGCCCTCCTCCAATCAGTACCAGCCAGTGCAGAGGGTTTTCTGTGTTTCTATGTGGCTACTCTGCTCCCAGGCAAAAAATGAAACTCGCTTTTTCGTATGTTATGGTCTTTTCTTACCACACAGGAAATTGGTACTCATGCATGTCTGTAAATAAACCCATAATCAAGTCTCTCCTTTCTTCCACGGATCCCATGGCATGCCAGGGATCTTTCTGTGTCTCCACCCTCCCAAAAATGCATAGAAATTACACCAGAGACTGACAGTAAGACACAAAAAGGCAGGGATTGGCTCACTGACACACAATCTGTCATCAGGAAATCAGAGAGACCCTGAGGATCTCTGTGCTCCAGTCCTACTTGTAAACTCAATGCTTCTCTTACTTTACTTTACTTCTTACTGTAAATGAGGCATGCATTTGATTAAATTACTCTAGCCAAAGTTTACTGGAGAAATGGTTTCTAAATAAGGAGGGGAGTGATGGCAGTGTTGGCAACACTTTTGTGGACAAAGTATTTACTGATTTTATTAATTTCTCTCCTTATGGAATGAGGGCATTAGAAATCTCAGCTATGCTTTTTTTTTTCAAATATCTAGCCTGCTGGGTTGCAGGGAAAGAAACAGAAACTATGACTTCAAAAGGGAAACATACAGCATTCATGACATACCATTTTTACTTGTTTTTCTCAGGGATCTTGCTCATGATTTTTTGGCTCAGAAATTCATGCCCTTTGCCACATCTGTTTTGGACTCTGGCCTCTCAGCTGGCACTGACATTTCTCCCAATCCTCTCTACAGGTTTTTTTTTGGTTTTGCAGCCTGCACTATAATTTGTAATAAATTGTGTTAAGCTAATTGTTTCACTCTGTAATTTCAAGGCCCCCGGGGATTTTACCAAAAGGAGCGTGGAAAACAACCCATCCCTCAGCTGGGAACTGTGTCTCCAGAGGCTGGGGCCTGGAGCGATCTCTTAAGTTCATGCTGTTTTGCTTCCAGCGGCAGGGAAGATCACAGGCAAAACAATCAGCTAAGTAAAGACCAGAGACAGCAGGGATGTTTTGTCCTCAGTGGACAGGTCCCAGAATGATGTTGTATCTAGTCTTCCTCAAACTAAGAGATGACCATGGGCCAGGGGAGTAGCAGGGAAGAACTGCCTCCATTTAAAGCCCCACAGGGTACGATCCCCATAAGCTGCAGGTTGGACTGGTTGGAGCAGGGAGGATAGCAGGGAGACAACATTTGCTTCATGTCTACTGAGATTTCGGGTTTGGTTCTGTTTTTATTTCCAGCATCAGTGGTGCAGTGAGGAAAGCTGGGCTTAAATCCTAATCTAGTTTAAAAATCTGGGAAATGCAGTTCTCTGTTTAGGAAGATGGGAAAAACACCCCCAACTTGGTGTGTTGAGCCCTGAGGTTTCCAAGCCTGTCTAGCTTCAGTATGGTCTCCTCTGGAAACCACTTCCTTCCAGGCTATATTCGGGACACACTTATAATCACAGAATCGTAGCATAGTTTATGTTGGAAGGGACCTTGAAGATCATCGAGTTCCAACCCCCCTGCCATAGGCAGGGACACCTCCCACTAGACCAGGTTGCTCAAAGCCCCATCCAGCCTGGCCTTAAACACCTCCAGGGATGGAGCTTCTACAACTTCTCTGGGCAACCTGTTCCAGTGCCTTACCACCCTCAGAGTGAAAAATTTCTGCCTAATATCTAATCTAAATCTACCCTCTTCCAATTTGAAGCCAATCCCCCTTGTCCTATCACTACATGCCCTTGTAAAAAGTCCCTCTCCAGCTTTTTTGTATGTGCCCTTCAGATACTGGAAAGGTGCTGTAAGGTCTCCCTGGAGTCTTCTCTTCTCCATGCTGAACAACCCCAACTCTCTCAGCCTGTCTTCATAGGAGAAGGTGGTCCAGCCCTCTGATCATCTTCATGGCCCTCCTCTGGACTCACTCCAACAGGTCCATGTCCTTCTTACGTTGAGGGCCCCAGAGCTGGATGCAATATTCCAGGTGGGGTCTCACAAGAGCTGAGTAGAGGGGCAGAATCACCTCCCTGGACCTGCTGGCCATGCTTCTTTTGATGCAGCCCAGGATAGGGATACATCCCCTTGTAAAAAGTCCCTCCCCAGCTTTCCTGTAGGCCCCCTTCAGGTAATGGAATGCCGCTATAAGGTGTCCCTGGAGCCTTCTCTCCTCCAAGCTGAACAACCCCAACACTCTCAGCCTCTCCTCATAGCAGAGATGCTCCAGCCCTCTTGGAAACGCAAAGTGTTTTCACTGCTTTCGTGGGACCCATCACCCCAAGCAGCCTGCACACACGCACCGATGGGGAGCAGCCGCCCACGTGGGACACGAGAAAAACCAGCTCCTTGGAGGCTTGCACTGGGGAAACCTCCATGTCTGAAAGGCACCGCTCGTACTTTGCTGCATGAACCGTAAAGGTCTAAGCAGAAGGAGCAGGTTTGCTCCTAAACGCTCAGTACCCTGCAGCGGGCACTGGCGTTAGCAGCTCACACGGATAAACTATCTTAAGTAAACACCACCACTGCTTTGAAGGGCATTAGTTTTATTCAGCGAGGGGGCCAGTTCCTCGCTCTCCACCGAGACGGCAACGTGGGTGCAGGACGGGGTGGCGCAATCTCGGCCTTTCCGGGGGGACCGGGGCACAGCCGCCGATTGAGGCCGCGATCCC